CGAATGGAGCTCTAAAATAATTAAGGAATATATTCTACAGGCAGGAGCAGCCAACTGCTGTTTGTCTGCATTTGTCACCTGCTCAGACACACAGCAAAGACTCAAATTCATGGCTTTCTAGTGCTGACATCAGGAAAAGGTTCACACACCAATGCAGAAGGTTTAGAAGCTCAGGCATACACTGGCAGAGGCACAGCTCCTACTTCCAGCTACAGGGAAACACCTCCAGCCCCTTCTCTCCCAGGTGGCTGTACAGAAAGGCAACAGTCACACTGATTTCTACCACATCCAGTGATGAGAAGAGAAACAGTTTCACAGTAAAGATAGAGGTTCACCAATAAGACATCTGATAACAACAGAATAACCTACCAATTACCAGCTGAAGGGAAACTGTGGTTAAACTTTTGTCCCTTCCATTAATTGTTTACAAAACGTGGTCTGGTAACTGATTGGAATTTTTCTTCTGCAGTAGCAACACCTTGAGAGAGATGATAGCAGAAACATTTACTCATCTCCTCTGCAAGTGAGGGATGCTGCTAGCTGGAAGCCAGGCATGCTGGAAGGAACAATCCTGCTTCACCAAGCCTCCAGCTCCCAACCAAGCCCTGATGCCTGCGATAACAAGGAGCAGCACAAGTTGGGGAAGGCAGCAAGGAGCAAGGAGGTGATGCTGAGGAGCCCAAGGCACTCACAAGTCAGACTGTGTCACTTTGTCATTCCACTCTCCAAGTTTCTCAGATGTTTTCACATAACTAGAAACAGAAAGTGTTAATGAATATAACTTTAATATTCATTTTTTTTAGAAGACAATGACATAGATTTCAGTGACAGAGGAATAACAGAAGTTGGGAAGGGATGGAAGAGGGAAGATGAAGAAAAGGGAAAGAATAAACAGCAAGATGAATAGCTCAATGATCTGCTCTGCAGTATCACTGTCAGCAACTCCAACTCCCAGCTAAATTAGAGATTTTTTTAGGCTGAATGATGGCTCTATGGGCACTCAGTCCCTCACACAGGGTCAAACTTACCTCTTGGACTCTCCTTTTGACATTGTCAAGCACAGCAGTGACCATACCCTTAATGCTTGTCCAGATACAGTCTCACTTCACACCTTTAGGCAGAGATGACTCTGGAAGTGCATACTAATATTACAGAACTTTTTTTCCTAGGAATTGCAGACTTTTAATTCAGGCTATTTGACCCAGGAAATAGTTTCTGAACTGGCACTATGCAGCAGAACTGTGAAACTGCTTGCATTTCCCTTTGAGCCTGAGTTCAGAGCAAGGTAGCAGCTGCTTACACCTCAGAGAATGGGCAGAAATGGGCAAACTGGGCCATCAAGTGGAAATCAATATCTCTAACATCATGGGAAAGAGCATCCAGCAACAATTTATCTGGATCATAGATACAAAAGTTCAGTTTATGCTGACATAAAGACACTGCCATAAAACAGCAATGATTTTTCTTTAAGTGTCTTTTACTCTATATATACCCATCAGAGGAAAAGCCTCCATCCACTTGGAAGAGCTCTGGAATATGCTGCTGGGAAGTGTCATAGAGTCCTATTTAAACACAGGGGCAGCACAAGCAACACTTACGCGTTGGAGACTTGCACATCGTGCCAACTTTTGGACAGGTTTTGCTTTAGCCCATCCAAGGGAGTCAGGCCCAGCTTCCTCTTCAGCTCCCCACAGTGCCTCTCCTTAGCAGCCAGAACTTGCCTGAGAGTACCAATTTCTTCTTCAACCTTAGAGAGAGGCAAAGTTTGTCTTAAACCACAGTTTAGCAAAATTCTGAACATTAACCCAACTTTCTACCTACCTCAAACTGGCAACACTTCACCAACATGAATTTTAAGTATCAGGATTAATTGTGTGTCAGGTGCACACAGAGCAATTCAGCTCAGCACGAACTGTGCTGGAATGGGAGGCCTAAAGATCAGCCTTCAATTAGGAAAACTGCCATACAAGTCACTGGATTGATGACTTAATGGTACATAAATTAACAGGACCCATTCCTGGCATTGTAATTTCAACAGTAGACACAATTCAGTTGCCAAACCTTATCAATTAAGGCTTTATGTCATGATTCTTTTTCTTTGATGCCATTAAGGCAAAGAGTTTGTCCTCAAAGATCTTTCTTACAACATTTTCAAACCACTCTGGAGCTGTTTACAGGCAGAGAGGGTTCATTTCTACTTTAACTGCAGCTCACCAAGCTCTGTGTAACCACCCAGAGCAGCAAAATCCTCCCTTGCCAAAACCTACAAGTCAAAAAACCACCATGAAATTCTCAAACGAAGGAAAGGACAGCAGAGAAACAGCTGCAAGTGCCTTCATCCACATTTTGGATAGAAATTATAAACCAACCTTTAAACATCAAAAGGTGCTCAAAATTTGAGCTGTTACATTACAAATTTCAGGTCTTTTGAAAGCATATAGGCACCAAAAATAGTTGCCTATAAAGTGTAATAAGTATTTAAGAGAAAAAGGTAGGGGGGAAAAAAAGCACATTAAGTGCTTCACCGTTTCAGTTTCCTAGGGAAAAACAAGTTTCTTTCTCACAGCACTTGCCTAAAGCATTCAAATGGAGCTAAAAGCCTACGCTAAGCTCATGGCATCAAAAGCCACTTATTTCCTTAGAGCTCTAAACTAGGTTGCTCTGGGAAAGAGCACACAACACAACCACAGTGTTTGAAGTACCTGCCAGCTTTGTGCCTTTCAACAATTAGCTGAGACATCCAAAGGTAACACCGCAAAACTAAAACCCAACGAAAAACAACAAAACAATCAGTCCTGTGGCTCCTGTTTGTTCCTTTGCAGCAGAACACAAGTGGGACCATACAGACCCTCCAGACCTTTACCTTGGCAAGCTCTGACCTCAGCTCCTCTTCCTCGGCCAGGGTCAGCCCCTCGGGCACGGCGGTGCGAGCCGCGGCCGCGCTGTCCACGGGCACATCCGTCATGGCATCGGCCAGCAGACCTTTGTTGGGAGAGTTAAGGTTGATATCTGCCACAGACAAGGAGCAGAGGGCACACTGAATAAGCAGGCGGCAGGCGAGGCAAGATATGCAAAGCTGGGACAGGTGCGGGAAGTGATTTGGGGTAAGGGGAAGAGAAACCTTCGGTGGAGTTTCCTATTGAGCATCTCCCAGAAACGACAGCATCACCGGATTCTCCGCGGAATGAACAGCCCCTGAATCCTCCAGGACAAAGCGAGGGGGGACGGGACACGAGCCCCGGGGGGGGA